TTTTTGTCGTTTTTATAAACAAAAAATAACTCAACAAACCTTATCGAGTTGTTGGAATTGCCATATGGCAGATGAAAAGGAATATTTCTAGAAATATCGATAATAATGTGTTTGTCTTTAGGAAATTTTCAAATGTTCCGCCATTTTGTAGTAGGTGAAGATATTGACTTCATATTCTAGGGTTGTGAAGTATTCGTCAGGAGCTTCAAAACGGTATGTCACAAAACCCCCCTTTCCATTTAATTTTTTTCTCAGATGGCACCCAGTCGCCATCTTGGAAGTTTCTTGAAAGTTTCCCTTCAAAATAAAGTAATCATGCAATAATTTCATTATCCCAAATTTCAATTTTTTGAGGTGACCCGTTCAAAAAATAAAAGGGGGGAGACACTAAAGAAATTCTCTGTATAAACATTGAATTATACGAAACATAAAATACCTTAGGAACAACTACTTTCACATGAACATTGAATTATACAAAAAACACGTTTTGCTATTCAGTTCGTACTCCGAACATTCGTTACGGAATTGAATCACATATCATTCACAGGATTGCTACACAATATGGCATATGAAAGAGATAAAATGTCACTCACTTGGAACACTGTCATCCTCAATGGCGGACAATCACTGTTTTGAAATGAGAAACTTGCCTCATCACCACCAATCTGGATAACATTACAAGATAAAGCAGTCAATTCATTGAAAAAATTACTACTTTATTTCAGAAAAAGGTTACATCCAGTGATGTCGTCGGTGACAGTAAATAATGACTTTTTTTTCTATAAACATGGCGAATTAGAAAGCCAAAACTTCCCTTTCCCACGTATTAAATGTGTTACCAAAAAATCTCTCCTTGGCCTTTCTACCTTGAGGTACGTTTTAAATTGCCACTCTGTATATTTGAAAACTAAATTGACTCAATCACACTTACCAATCAGAATTGCCAGAATTTGAGGCCACTCTCTGCTTTCTTTTAGTTCTTCATCTTCCTCAACCAGTGGCAATTCATTTCTATGATCAGGAGTCATATCCTCTCTAGAGATTTTCAGTAAGTTTGAGATAAACTATATACATCTAATGAGGAAAGTCACAACGAGTGATATTTTTTGTTTGGAGCATGATCTATGAATTGATCGGCATCAAATGTTTTACCACGACAACTAAGCAAATACCACGTTGAATATTGGTAATGACTTACTGAGCCAATTATGAACAGCTAATTAGCAGTCATTGTTGAAAACTCAAAACGAAGTAATATCTACTCCTTTATCATGGGCACGTCATTAAACTTCACAACTAAAAAATAATCTTGTATTCAAATTGAACGAAATTCAAAGGTGACAGGTGACCTTTATTAGCAAATCAGCTGCGAACTCAAAGGTAAGTCCTTGCTTCGCTTGGATACATTTCCTAATAAATATTAATTTTTTTTCAGTTTAAGTCTTTTTTGTTAAGGACAAAACACAAGCACTGAGAGAGCGCCTTAAGGCGCTCTACGAGCGGTGCCTGTGCGAAAGTAGCGATTCACATTGGACTTGAATCGCTGTGGATTAACTCTATTTGAAAAAACTTTCTCAGAAAGTTTATTCCACTCGAGCGCAGTTCTACACGTGAAAGAGTTCTTGAACAGTGAAGTTAGAGGTGTACTGAGATGAACCTCAAAACGACGAGCAGCCACAGCCCGTCAAGTATTTCTGATATGAAGGTACCGCTCTTGGTGGAATCAAATGTGTCAAGTAACTTGAAAGTTGGAGACAAATCTCCAACCTTTTTTCGATATTCCAGGCTATTAAGGTTGCAAGTGATGTTCGTGTTCTCAAACAGGCAGATGGCCCTTTTCTGGATGGAATTCAGCCAACTCAGGGTATGCTTAGGGGCGAAGCTCCATACATGGGAACAATACTCCAAAGAAGGCTTGATCTGAGCTTTATAAAGCATCAAAAGTTGCTGAGGTATGTACAGTTTTCTGGTTCGGAACAGTGTTTCAAGCTTCTGAGAAGCGGTTTTTGCAAGCCCTGCTAATAAGTTATGATATGAAAAAAATCAAAGAGTGGTGTGATGCTAATTTGCTATACTTCAATATCACTAAAACAAACATTTTATCATTTAGATGTGCTCTTGATGACTTGTCATTTGGTGATAACTTAGTGATCAAGAACGAGACACAACCTAAATATCTAGGTATTCACATTGACAAGCTAAAATTTATTGAGCATATTGAACAACTTAAAAGTAAAATTTGTCCTGGATGTTATGCAGTGAGAGTAACTTCAATAAATTTGGGAATCAAAACTGCCAGAACGGTGTAATACGCCACGTTGAATCCCACCTACGTTATGGAATACGGTTTTGGAGAGTAATCAATTCATCAGCACTTCTGTCTGTATTAGTACTGCAGAACCGGGCTATCAGGTATATGTATAAGATTAAACCTCGTGATTCATGCAGACACAAATTCGCTGAGCAAAAGATTTTAACAGTGATTGCTTTGTTCATTTTGGAAACGGTTTGCCTCATTTACAAGAATATGTCCCTATTTGAGGCTTCATGCCATTCTTATAGCACCCGTTCCACCGAGTTGAAATTGCCAATTACTTTAACAAATTTGGTCAGGAATTCTATTATTACAGTGGGGCCAAGATGTTTAATCCCTTGCCCTCAGATATAAAACAAGCAAATATAACAAACAAAATGTTTATGATAAGATTGAAAACGTTTTTGGCTGATAGACCCTAATATAATTTGCAAGAGTTTTATAATGATAAATTTACGTGACAAACTGTGCATATTTGAATTAAGGTTATATTATATTTTTGGTTATATTCATGTTTAGATATAAATGTTTGTTTGAGACGATACACGGATCAAATAGCCGAAAAAACCAGTTCAGCATAGTCCTATCCGTGAAAACTTCAAATTTAACATTCGATACCTTAACGGGGAGATGAGGTCAACTAAGAAGAAGAAGAACTCAGGTAAAACTCAACAACATTTAAGTAGTAGGTAGTAGAGCGTTTATGGACACTCTATCTCTGAACACGTAACGAATACCATTTTACCAGTATAGTAAGAAGTGAGTTTTTCCGTTCTCAAAACACAATAAATTCATTTGTGAAGAATGCTTCATTCGTATATTTCTTCTGACGAACGTCAAAAGAATGAAATGTCTAGATATCGTATACACATACTGATCTATCTTCGGACAACGACACATTGAATTTTTTCTTGAACGGAATCAGGCCCGGTGTGAACTTGGCCCACCACTACCATCGTCCATAGATTAGAATATCTATGGACGATGCCACTACAACAGAATCTAAAATTTATGAAGTTCTGTTATTTATGAAATCCAAATCATGCGGATTTGAACAAATGTTTTGGCACTTCTGTGCCATACTAGAAAATAGCTGTAACATGCAATTTTTTTTCTTTTTTTTTCTATGGTATACTTTGGTTTAGTTTGTTTTGTTATTGAGGTTGAGTGGAAGAGAGAACATTTTCAGCTCAGAAGTGAATTTGAACTAGAGCTAACTCTGACTTCTGATAGATATATGTATTTTTTTTTCTTTTTTTCGTTCTCACATTGTTTCTAATTTGTACTATCTGATAATAAAAATGGTTGATCTTATTTTTATTATCATTATACAGGATGTTTTTCGAAAATTCAATTCAGATTTATGAGGAGTGAAACAAACATTGTCATCTAAAAATCTTGAGAAAAACTCAATGGATTCTGAAGATGTCAAAGAGATTTCCTTAATTGAATTCTCAGAAAACATCAATTATTTGATGGCAATTCAAGGAACGGGGAATGAGAGTGTTCAGAAAGTGTAAAATATTTCTAGGTATCAAAAATATCTACAACGTTGATGGAAACTATTTTTTCAACAATCTGAGAAAACATTTATTCTTTTGAATTTTTTGCCACAAAATAATTCATTTGTTACTAAACTTCTAACTCATAATAGTCAATTCATGTAAGTAGTAACAATTTTTTCCAAATCTTCATGATATGTTTTCATTGAAAAATCTTTCGAATGGTGTAGAATAAATAACATTATCATGAAAAAATGTGCCAGAAAACTGATTCCTAATTTTTTTTCAGTTTCTCAAATCATTGGTCAAAGTTTTATATGGTATTATACATTTTTTTACACTACCTAAAAAGATCGCTGTAGATTTTGAAAATAAATTATTTTCAAAATCAGCACACGAATACTTTATATTGAAAGTTGATTGTTTTTTTAGGACTAACATCAAAATAAAACGTTCAATCTGATTTTGATTAAAAAAATATTGCATTGAGAATACAGAAAAAATTGTTTCCAATAACAATCAACAAAACAATAAAATCAGAAACGAAATAACCGGTTTTTCTGAAAAAGTTATATGAAAAAACCTTTCATACAAAAGTTGCTGATTCTCACTTTCAACTGTTTTCGATATGAAGTGTAGCCTCAGTGGAAATTTAGCGCATAGCTGCCTTGAATCGACGTTATTTTTTCTGTTACGAGCATAACATTTTATATCCTTCCTAACAATAACGATGTTATTGATTTTTTCAATTTTTGTTTAACCAATAGAGATGATCTCACCACTGATCTAATAATCATTTCTCTATTTCACTTTTAACAATATTTGGTCTTTTTACCGAGTAAGCGTTGATATATCGCCTCCTTATAACTATGCAACGTACCATACACAATAAACCGCTCTTGCAAGTCACCGACGTACACTCAGCACGGATTTGTATAAATACTGATACGGTAGCTATTACCATCGGAGGTGCGTGTCAGTGGTGGCACAGCTGACCATCGATCGTTGTCTGAGGGCAGCAGATCTGATCAGTTCGCGCCGTCACCGGGTTGATTTCAGTCACCATGGACCTGCCGATGTCTCGTCGCACGGTAGCCATCCATCGGTCTCATGAGCGTCCGTAATGATCGAAATTGGGGTTCACGGATGGGTTTAATTCATTTAAAATACACCTCCAAGAAATAGGCACTGCAGTTCGGCAGTATGCCATTTTTTGAAAATTTTTCCTTTGTTATAGAATCGTTATTTATTTTATTGCCTAGTTAAAAAATTCTTAAATCTCACTATAATATTCATATCACAATTAGTACTTTGATACTGATTACCAGACTAACAAAGAGAGACATAAAGATTATACCGTGTGTTCTACGAACTATTATAAGGTTTTAAAAAGTAGTGAAAAACATATTCTAGCTTTACAAATCATCAAGAGTGGGTGGCGTAAAAGTTTAATTTATTCGTTACAAAGAAAGAAGCTGAGAGAAGTTTCAAATAAAAATTACCCTTGTTGAACACTATATTTCTTTAAAAGCAGTACATATTTTATTTTTCCCCAATATTTTTTCAATGGAACTTCCGAAATTTCTCAAATTGGGATTCCTGGATGCGTTTTAAATACACTTCCGTGAAATAGGCAATGTAGTTTGAATATTCGTTGATATTAATTAGTTACCTCGGACCATTAAAAAAATGTTCCAATTTCTTCGACGTTTTATCATTTCTGAATATGTTATTGATATTCTCATCATGATTACTGTATGATTATTGATTACCAGAACGTTATATATTTTTAGACCTCTGGGTAATAA